ATCAGTAGTAGGGTGTGTGCGGGGGGCGTGGGATAGAGAAATCAGTACTGGTATCACTGATACTGGCCTTCAGTCATAAAAAAGATGCCATTAAACAAATATAAAAAAATATACTGTCTTTGTTGTTTGTACATTAATTTGAAGATTGAATGTGAAATTATTGCAATATAAAAGTATATTTAAAAACTTTAATGTTAGGTGGGATTAATCGCGATTAATAAAAAAAATTGTGATTAGTAAATGATTTTTAATCAATTGACAGCACTATTGTAAGAAAATTGTATCGTGTAATCTGTATTGTGAATTTTATCGCATCGTAAGTTTAGTGAATTGTTACATCCCTATATGCTACTAGTTTTTGCTGATCATGCTGATTTGTCCCCAGTAAAGTTCAGCCAATGTCTTTTTTTTTATTCGGGCTAGTTAAATTAATTTTGGGCTACCAAAACCTGAAGAATGCCTGCCCGAAGGGCTACCAGGGATTTTGAAATTTTGCGAGCCCTGCACAGTCTCTGTTCATCTGTTCTCATAAATAAATAAATAAAGCCTATATGGTTGTCCTGTAGGTTCATTATTAAAAATGAAAATGTGAACAAAAATACAAGTAGTTAAATGTGTTATTATAATTAAAATATGAAAATTAAAATGACGGGTAATAATAGATTATGATGGAATTTTTACGACCCTGTCCGTCAAAATGACGGACAATGTTAAAGTCTTACGCAACCTCTGATACACACACACATGTAATAATATGTTATAAGCACTTCAAATAAAAAGCATGAGCATTTTCTTTGGCAGATGCATGTGCTGTTTAATGCCTCTGACAAGTGTTTTTCTTGGCATTGCAACTTGCATAGAAAGATATAATACTTAGAATATATATATGCATTTTAAAACAAATTAAATAACTTTTTATATTTTGATGGATAAAGACAAACAACATGATTTAAGTGTGTGAATTAATATACTGATTTATTTTTGATTTTGGCAGCTTTTCCTCCAAACACACAGGAATTCACCAACAGTTCAGCTCCTCCCACAACAGTTTATGAAAGAAAGTTGAAAACATGACTGATCCAGAACCCTGCAGAATAAAACCGGAAGATACTGAACAACAAATAGGTTGGTATATATTCTTCATTCTTCAGTAAGGTTATAAAACTTCAAGCAGTTCATCAGATTCAGTGGTTGCAGTTAGAAAAATCATAAAGTTGTGAAATAGCAGTTAAAGCTGCAGTACAGAAAAAACGTGAAGTTACGAGTTTCAGTGGTTCATTGTTTTGATGATTACATTGAGTTGAGGCACAGCTATTTAGCATGGATGAATATGATAGATTGGGGCATACTGGCACCTGTGGTTAAAGGCATTAACAGTGCATAAGTTGCTTATGCCATCAAAACTTTCCCCTCCAAAAAGAAAAGACACGCATATGAGACATAATATGAGCCAGTATTGTCTGTTGTTTTGAAAACAGTTGTTTGAACATAAATAACATCACAAAAGTTAGGCAATGCAACTCTCTATACTAGTGCTGTTCAAAATATCGATACGACGATGTATCGTCACAGAGATTTGACTATACGAGTGTATCGCTACTGTGGCACGTGTGCAGCAGTGGACCACGCTTAATTTTACAGCGTTTAAAATTTAGTAGAAAAGTGCGAGGTTTCTAAAAATGAATGAATAGAGCATCTGTTAATAATCTGGCCGCAGAGGAACACAATGGGGTTGCCTGATATAAAGAGACATAATCCCCAAAACAGAGCTTTACATTTGCACTAAACGTGCTACTTATCTTTGTCAACCTGGCAACCCTGTGCTCACGCGCTCTCTCTCCACTGGATAAACGCGCTTGCTTTCTGAAACCACCGCTTAGCTTGCAGTTTAGTTATCTCCACTTCAAGTCTATTCTCAGAAAAGTGTGATTCATCAACTGTTCATT